CTGCACTATTTCAGAGTGTGTAACTGCATATAATCTGCTCCTAACTCTCAGACTTATTATATTAATCACACTTCTATTACTGTTAGCGACCTACAAAGACCCACACATGCAAACACGTGAAAGAACAAGGAAGGAAGCAAGCCACACTGCATTTTCAGTTATTTATAATCAGAGCTGCACAAGTGTTTTCATTATTGATCAATCTGTCGATTACTTTCTTGATTTTTTGTCCAAAACTCAAAAATATTCACGATAGTGTCGAATAATAACAAGAAAACCAGAAAATAATCATCTGAGAAACAGAAAACTGTGAATTTTGGGGCTAAACTATCTTAAAGTAAAGGATTGATTTTCTATCTACTGACTAATTAGTTAATTGGCAAATTGTTTCAGCTCTAATAATATATCTTAGTCTGGCACATAACACTGCACTATTTCAGAGTGTGTAACATATAATCTGCTCCTAACTCTCAGACTTATTATATTAATCACACTTCTATTACTGTAAGGGACCTACAAAGACCCACACATGTGAAAGAACAAGGAAGGAAGGAAGCAAGCCACACTGCATTTTCACGCGTGGTTGAACATGCTTTTAAAAGAAGCTGGCTTACATCAGCAGGTGTTCTCGTCAGCAACTGATCAGGATTAATTCTGTGCATTGCTGAGAAAGCTTAGCGTCATATTAGATTCACTCCAGTTTCAATCAGACCACCTGGAAAAGAGCGGCCTCCAGTGAGCTGACTTCTCAGACGGTAGCCTAAGTTCACGAGACTCTGTGGAAGTTTCCAGTGACTCAACATCAAACCTGCTTTGGCGATGTAGAAAACAGGAAGAACGTTTTGGTGTCGATTTATTTCTCTATGTCGACTCTTAAAATCACTTTACTGAAGAAGACGAGAGGACAGTTCAGTGTGTGAGTGTGTTACCGGTCTCTGCGGCGGTGAAGGCGTACTGGCTGCTGCAGGAGGTGCCGAGGTAGAACTCCTCGTTGGCTGCCGCCTCCTCTTCCACCTCAACGTGCTCGTCCTCCTTCAAGTCTCCGAGAGTCATGATGTCGGAGTGATCACTGGAGGACAACAGAGTCACGTTCTGTTTCCCCGGGGTGCTGTCTCCGCCCTTCAGAGGATATAGAGATATTAACGAAGGAAGAGAAAGGGAGGGGCAGTACAGTGGCTCTGGATCAGTTAAACAACAGTTGTTTCATTGTTTTCTTACCTCTGAGGCATTCAGTGTCTCGTCTACGGTTGTTCCTCCCAGAGTGTCATCAAGTGAATCAGCAACCCTCTCCTCAACACTCTCAGCTGAGAATAAAGTTAATACAAATTAAGATTAATGTCTGAATTATGACTGTTAAGTTATTTATAATCAGAGCTGCACACGTGTTTTCATTATTGATCAATCTGTCGATTACTTTCTTGATTTTTTGTCCAAAACTCAAAAATATTCACGACACTGATCACTGTACGCATATAAACACACGATTTATTGATTCAATATCATCATACTAACAACATAATAATAACTCTGCTACTGTTAAACCCAGACAAAAAACAATAATACAGACTTTTACCAGCAGACGCAGACGTCTGTGTGTCCTGCAGCTCTGCTTCCTCCACTGGATGGCGCTCTAACAGCTCGGCTCCATACTCCACCGCAACCTCCGATCCCAATGTCTCAATATCTGAACCCTGAAAACACAATGAGCATTAAAACTGGACACGACGAAGAAATACACCTTTATTTATTCAGTTAAAACTGCTTCATTTGATAAATGTGAATATTTTAAACAACACATGGAGACATACAGAACTGAAAAAGGTCCTCGTGGTAAATGATATCTGACACACTGAACAAACATCAGCTGACCAGAATGAGGCTGGCAGCATTTCAGAGGAAAAATCCCCAAAAACACACAAACACAATCCCTTTTTGTTTTTTGGTTTCATTTCAGATGTATAATTTCTGTGCAACAATACTTTTTTAGTACAAAAACTCCAGATTTTAGTGGTAAAAGATAGAAAATTGCAGATTTCCCCCATTTTTATGATGAAACGAACAGTTTATCATGTAAAACTCACAAACTATAATGAGTTTCTATTCAAATGTCATATAAAGACATTTCCAAACTCTTCCAACACATTCAACAATGTTCTGTAATGAACACAGACGTTAATCACAACGTCAGGTTTCTCTTTAACATCTTACTCGTTGCTGCCACATTAAAGAGTCAAAAACTACACAACAAATGAAATCAGCTGGGACTAAGAAGAAGAAAAAGGGCTTAAATACCTCATTACTGATAATGGTCCAGCCACAGGATGACTCTGCGTCACTTGACGTCTCTGACATCTCTGTCAGCTGTCAGCAACATACAAGAATCTGGAGGAGATAAGGAGGTCAAAGACTGAAGACAGACAGGAGGTTGTACTGGAGGAGATGTAGGTCAGTGTGTCACAACATGAAAAACAGTGTTAATCTTCAGTTTAAGTAGTCCAAAATGTGTTTATCATTGTTAATAATCCAGATATCAGACACAATAATGTACAAACATCCTGACAGCCTGACCCCAAGCAGCCTGTAAGTGTTACCTCTTTCCTGGGAACACCTTAAGGTTTGTTTTTGATTCATTAAACGCCATAGATACACAGAGATAATAATGACGTTATCAATGTAACTAATAGTTAATCACAGCTCTTCTGTTTCCCGCCCTCAGCATGCAGCCCTGAGCAGCCTTTAATCACTGCTTCCTCTAGCTGCTCATCAACCTGAAACTCTGCCATTTATACACTTCCTGTGTATACAAAACAAACAAACAAACAAACAAACAAAACAAACACAGCGGAGTAACAGCGGCCTCTAGGTGACAGACTATAGTAATAGGTGATACCAGCTCCAGCGGCCCGACGACGACGACAACAACAACAACAACAACAACAGCAACAACAACAACAGCAGCAACAACAACAACAACAACAGCAACAACAAACAACAACAACAGCGCAGCAGCAGTTAAGCCGTTTGCTCTCAGCGTTAACCAGGCCGTTTGGTTCCATAGCCCGTTGGTTAACAGCCGTTGTCCCCCGTTCACATTCAGGCGTTGGCTTCGCAGCCAACGTGAGTAAGCGTGAGTTAGAGTTAAGTTAACGTCTCCTCCCCCTTGCAATCGTGCGGGAGACCATAATTGATGTTGCTTATCCACAACGGGGTAGTTATCTGTGTTAGCACTTAACGTCACCAGTTTTTATGTAGAAAATAAGACACATGGTTGAACTCCACCGGTGTTTAACGTCCCAACGACGAGACAGCTGTTTACAAGCCCAGCCTCCAGAGTTATTTGCAGTATCGCCCTAAAAGCCCCCAGTTTATCCGTTTAAGAGCGACGCGGCGGAGCGGAGGCCGGAGCGGGGATACACCGGGAAACGTAGTTTTGCGGTTAGCGGTTGGACCCAAGCAGGCGCCAAAGCCTCCGATTCAACTCCCCCATGTTTAACTACATTTCCGCATAAGTCAGCGCCGGTGTATACAACCAGGTTCGGCGAGGGGTGGAAACCCTCCGGGCTCCGAAAAAAAAAAACAAAACCATTAAACAAGGAAGCGTGACAAAGCAGACCAACCCAGCATTAATTAGGGGGTTGCAAATGTAAAAAAAAAACAAAAAACAGCAACAACAAAACGAACTCATGAATGTGTTTGTGCTGTTGTGGCATTAGCAGAAGGTTTTAAAAGCAGGTCGCTAACGCGGAACAGTTAACTGCCCACCAGAAAGCACGTGCTCGTCGTTGTTATGGGCTGTGGGAGTTTCTGGTTGCGTGTTCATGTTGTTGTTGTTGTTGTTGTCGGTAGGGCTCAGTTTCAGTATCACACAATGGCTTCCTATACACTGCGGCCTGTTGTGAGTGCTCCTGTGTGCGGCTCTCTCTGCGGTTGCTATGCTGTCTGTCTCCATGGCTGCTGCTGCTGGGAGGTAATCAGTGGCATCACGGGACACAGCAGAGCAGCAGCTCACCTTAATAACCTTTCCTTTTTGTTTTGTTTTCTTTGTTTTCCCCTCACTTAGCCACCCCCTACACTCCTAACTTTATAGATTCTTCCCATGAATGTGTTTGTTGTGATTATTTTCTTGTAAATAGATTATTGTGTGTCACCTGTCATCAGAACCAGCACGTGTTTATGGTGCTTAAATTAATTTAAACATCAAAAACACTGCAAAATACTGGCATTATACCACCATAGGTAGACATAAAAACACAAACATGATTGTATTGGACTCAGCTTTATGTTCCGTTTGTACAAATGTCCACCTTCTGCTGTGATTAACACAACTGGACAATTGAAAATTGACACAAAATACACAAAACTTTAAAAGTGTGAAACTAAAACTGTACGGAAAGAGGAAGCTTTGTTGAACTAATCCATCAAAATGATAAAGTATTATATATTTTTAGATAGATAGATAGATTTATTTCTTATCTTTTATGTTTTTTACACAGCCTAATTGAGAGATAATTATGGATCAGCTTTCCTATGAGCTGCTGTTAACATGTAATACCAGTGGAGGTCAGTGTTGTCATGGTTATGCCAGTTTTTGTAAATTGGAAATGTTCTGGTGCTTTGTCTATAATGTTACATAATAAGACTATAAATGTAGGAAATTGGTGTAATCTTTTTGTATTAGCAATACAATTTATAGCTTAGAAATGCAAATTTGTGTGTAAATCTAAACATTAAATGTGCCAGTGGGTTTATCATTGTCGTCATTCACTATTTTAAATTAAAGTATAATTTATTTTGGAGAATAGTGGAATAGAATCGGCTCTGTGGTGGCAGATGTGATCCCAACCAGGCTTATAATTCTCCAAGAACAATTATCAATACAATTAAGTCCATAGATAAATTATAATGTACAATATCAATACACACATATATCAAAATCTACATCATCTACATTCAAAATATATTAAATTAATGTACAGGACCTGAGTCTAAAAGCCCAGTGTTTAAAAAATAAGTCTTTTAATGTCATTGTCTTTGATGCTGACAGTGTTGCAGCTGAGTGATGTGTGTATAATTACTTTATTTCTAAAGTGTCCATAAAGAACCAAATCATCAGCTGCAGTCTTAAATTAAAAATGATCTCCACCTCAAACAACTACCACTGTAAAAAGCTGCTTAAAGCACGAGTTATAACCCAATTATACAATATATAATAGTGTAGCTGTCACCAGGGACATTTTTATACATTGGTTTTACTTTTGATACTTTATGTCATTATATTTTATTGTATGATACTTGAGTGCTTTTACTTAATTTTACTTGTAATGGAGTGTTTTTACAGTGTGGTATTAGTACTTTCACTCAGAGATTTAAAGCTAAAGCAAAGAAAACACAAGATGAAAATATAAAATAGTGTTGTTTCATCTGTCCTAGAACTGAGAGCATGTTCAGAAAAAACAACTGCAGACAAGTTGCATTTTTTGTACTTTTATTTAAAGTGAGAATCAGACTTGACAAACTACAACAAAACATGAACTGAAAATATCAGAAAACATAAAATAATTACAAAAAGGTACATTCAGTTTTCAAGACTTGACTCTTTTACTTTGAGGAAGAGCAGCTGTGGGTTCCCTGAGTTTGACTGTAAATGACCCGCAGCGCTTCCCCCCACATTATTTAAACACAACATTACTGCAAGAGGGGAGAACAAACAGAGTCAGACCAGACTCTGTGTTTTAACCCTTTAAATTCACAGAGGAACGTAATTCCAAGAAAACACCGTTCATGATCTGAAAGGCAGCAGACCAACATCTCGAGGCTTCTGTTTGACCATCTTGACGTGAATCTTACAGACATTAATGATCCACGTATATCGCATCTGCACCTATCACAAGAGTATGACAACATAAACCCAGAGGTAGCACTTATGTACCTGTAAGAGCTGCAGAAGGCTCAATTCAGAACCTGTATGACTCCAGTAGCTGTGTGTGTAACAGTCAGTATCTTCACAACTTGAATATAATATATCAGGGTTCAAGAAACAAGCATGAGCGCTGTTTTCAGATTCTGCATTGAGCCTGTAAAGCTCTAATAATACAGGATTTATTAATACATTATGGGGTTTAAGTTAAAATGAAAATGTGTATCCTTCTTTTACTTTGTGAAAGCAGGTTAAACATGACTCAACTGAATACAAAAACATGTTTATCTTGATAGACAACAGATAAAAAAAAAGGAAAACTTGATTTAGTGGAAATAAATGACAATTAAGAAACAGGGTGACGTTTTCATCCTGCTGTCTCGTAGTACAACACATAATACATGAGTATGAGAACACTGAGAATGACAACATTTCACACTAAGATAGGATGCTTTTATACGGATCTCTTGCCAATATGCAACGGTGACCTCTAAATCTAAATCTTTGGTTTGCATTGTTTGCTTTTCAAAATAAAGTTTAACTGATTGACTTTTCATCCTAAAATCTTCCCATGATTGAATCCTCTGCAGAATCCTCTGATTAAAAATTCAGAGACGTGAAAATGTGCGTGCGCCCTCCCTGACTTTCCTACAGCCTGTGTTATTATATGAAATCATTTTCGTGAGAGCTTTAAATAATCTATTAAATGCATGAATTTGAATACCTCACATATATTTCTTGATATAAAACTAATGTTAGTTGGTAGAGCTGGCCAATAAAGGCAATAAAAGCCCCAAAAAAAGAAAACTAATTTATTTATGCTCCTTGTGCGGAAATCTCCCAAATACATTTAAATCTTTTTTCACGCACTCACAGGGGGAAGAGTCCGTGGCTGCACATTTTCACACGACTGAACTGTTGCAAGAGACTTCTACTCAATATAATATACTGTATTCTCTTATAATTATCACCTACAATGTACAGACATCTTTTGCAACAGCTTTGGAGGAATTCTGCGACAGGATTATTTGGTTTGCATGCATAACATTGATTATTAATTTTCACTCCATCTTCTGTAAGTGCCCGTGTATCCCGCTGGCACTAGCTCAGAGTTCGAACCTGCAACTCTCTATACTCTTATACTTCTTTCTCTTTTTTTTTTTTTTTTGTTGAGGATCAAGGCCACTAATGTGCAAGGCTTTGTTCGAGGAGCAGCGCCTCAACTCATCTCAAAGGCCACGATTCGTCTTCAGTCTAATCTGTTTCCATTATTTCACATTCCTCAGTAACCTTCTGCCAGAGATTAGTTGAGAGACTAAAATAAACTGAGGTAGCAAACGACTCTTTGGGTTATAGCGTCACAGTCACCGCAGCACATTGGCCAATAATACAAAACTACTTGGCAGACAAGTGCTAATCTTCATCTACTCTACAGCAAAGCAAAATAACTACTTGGAACAAAGGTAACTACAATGTGTACTCAGTAGTACATTATCTTCTAACAAAAATATAGATTTTTTTTTCCACAGTAAAACGTTTCACGGCGTTCATTCAGTTCTTCACTTTCATCTCTGATTAAACACTTCCATTGCTTTTACTACAATCATTCTTCACGTTTTGCATCCTCATGTGGAGCTTCTCCCTCAGAAAGATTAGACTTCAGATTCAGCATCTGAGGGACGCCTCCCACATTAAGGCCAATTATAAAGCTTTTCTGTACCGACATTGCCACTGCAAGCACTTCTGGTGTGAATCTTTACATGAATAAAAAGGAAGAAGTCAATAAACAAAAGAGTCTGTTGTAAAAACAGACATTATAGGACCTGAGGAGAAACTACAGAGGGGGTTTCCATCTGTGGGGAAGGGCAGCACAAACATCTGACCTACTGGCACACAATGTCGGAGATACATTCATAGCATATTCTATTAGGCAATTACACACTACAACAGTTTAGTACTGAGAAGATACCCTGTCATTTCAGCATGTAACACTACATGACTTTTCAAATGTACTAAACTTTGTTCCCTGAGTTTAGGAAAACAATAAGACAATAACATAACTTCTTAAATGAGGTAGTATAAAACAGGAATGGCAAGGGCAGCTGCACACCGACATACAAAACAAAAACAAACATTCATTATCTTGTCATACCATTACTCAATAATGGACGAAATGAACAAAACATATCATTAATACTGGCTCAGCACCTCAGCAACATCTGAGGAGATAAATAAGAAACTGTATGTGTAGTTTCCATCCTTCGGTCCACACAACAGGTGGAGCGGGAGGAGGAAGCTGCAGCGCCCTTACCATCCAGCAAATCAGAACAAAGTAAGAGAAAAACACAAAATGGGATGACAATCGGAAGAAAGTCATCAGGAAGTATCAAATGCAACGTAACTGAAGCAGCCCATCACATAACATAGGTATAAGTAGTTATTAAATATACAGTGGAGGTTTACCCGGAGGTAAACCGAGGTAGATAATCGGTGAAAAGGACAAACACTTCCCTTTCGCTCCAGTGATAAACTCTCTTAAATAATGCCAGAAATGTCACTTTTGTCACATTTTGACAGGCTTTTTAAACATTCATGGTGGGTGAGATTTTTTTTTCAAAAACATACACACACACACACAAAGAGAAAAAAAAAAAAGACATTCATTGAATGAAAAAGGGAGAAATAAAAGAAATCAAACGACCATCCTTGCCAACACTTTGTACTGTAAAAGGCATTTGTTGGCTTCCTGTTCACTGTGTGTTGGACCAAGAGAGGACAAAGGTTGAAAAAAGGTCTCTCTCTTTGTTTCTTTACACCTCTCGCTCATACTTGCAGTCCTCTCGCACATACATTCAGGCCTGTGGTGCACTTGCAAAGGAAAATAACTGCAGGAAGGTTGTGTGGATGAATTTTAGTCCAATCTGTCCTCAGCTTGATTTGCTGAGCCAGAGATTATCGAGCTTTGTGGCCAGTGAGTGTCACCATTATTTCCTGTTTCTCTTGGAGGGCAGCTACATAGTTCAAGTGTTAGTTTGACAATTTGGGAAATGTGCCTATTCACTTTGTTGATTGTTTTATATGAAGCTACAGCCAGCAGCCCGTTAGCTTAGCACAAAGAAGCAGAGGAAAGAGCTCTGTTCGGGTCTGTCTGGTAACAAAATCACCCTACTATCACTTCTAAAGCCCAATTAACACATTATATCTTGTTTGTTTAATCCCTGCAAAAACTAATGTCTAAAAACAACAATTTTACCGGGGGTTGTGCGCCAGACTACTTGTTGGCTCTGAGCTGTTGCCAGGCAACCAGCCCCCGTAAAAAACACAACTTGTTGTTTTTACACTTCAGTTTTTGTACAGATTAAACAAACGAGATATAACGTGTTTATACATGAGCTTTACAGGTGTTGCTAGGCAGATTTTGTTCCCTTTGGACAGTTAGGCTAGCTGTTTAAACCCGTTTCCAGTCTTTGTGCTAAGATAACCATTTTCCTGGCAGTCAGCCTTATTTATGTAAAACAGAAGTGGGCATCGATCTTATCTCATCTAACCCTCTCTAAAAGCAAATAAGTCCATTTCCCAAAACTGGTCAAAATATTCCAATTAATTTTTTTTGCTCTCCATTTAGCTGAGGTAAACCTGAAGCTGCAGTGAGCACACCTATTTCCTTATGATGTGAATTTGACCAGCTTGTTACTTCAATATAGTTTAATATGCAGGTTATCCAATGCCTCACAACACACCTTCACACACACACCACACTCACACGACCAACAACACAACACACACACACACACTTAGAGAGAAAGTGCAGACTGAGAACCGCTCTGCGTGTCATGAAGACAGCAACCGTTCTCCGCGGACTCCGTTGACTTCAGGCCGGTCTGACTTTCCTCGAGCTGCCCGCCTGGCTCTTCAGCGGGGAGGCTGCAGTCCGAGCCTCCACTGTTCTCGGCTGTCAGTGACGGTGGGCGGCTGCTTGGACCAGACGACAGGTTGGTCATCTCTGTCTCGTCGTGAGAGTAACGACCTGAGTCACCGGTTGCGTGGCTGCCCTCGCTGGTGGAGGAGCCCTCGGTGTCACTGGGACGCCACAGCAGAGCCTGCATGGTGGCGGGCTGGTCTGGAGAAATGGACAGCTCCTCTTCAAAGGTCAACACTGTGGTACCGTGCTGGTAGGAGCTGGTACCATGTGTCATGTTCTAAAGCACAGAGAAAATGTTGCTTCGGTTAGTCTGAGTGTTTATGGCTCAGTTGTGCAGTCAACCTATCTTTATTTCAGCCTTCAGATACTATGATCCAAATTACACATAGGGTCTATCTCTGTCTGGTTTCCCTTGTAATTTACAAACTCTGGGTAAGCAAAGATTTGCAATCTACAAATTGCTGATGGCAATTTAACAAGCAGGACTGATAATCTTACCTGTACTGCTTTACTGTCTTTTCTCACATTATTGCTGAAGGAAAACCATTTCTCTTTCTTCTCAGTGCCAGGCTGAACAGGGCCGAGAGAATTTATAATGAGATTTGTTCCACCCTACAAGTGAAAAAAAAAATATTTTTTAAGTATGAAAAGGTATGAGCCATATCCAGAACCTACTTCATACTTCAGTTAGTATGTTTAAAAGTGGCTATATATTCAGTGGCTTTACTACTTTTGCAGAAAATCATGAAGAAAAGATTTCTTAAGTCCCCAGACTTATTTAACATTTAAACTCCACAATGGTTCCATGATTGCAGTACTAAATCATCTTTATAGGTTTTTATATCTGTATTTCAAATTTCCCAAAAGGCCCAAAGAAAACTTTGGTTAAGTATTTTTGTGACCACATGACGTGCTGTGTGTGTTATGTACCTTGGCATCAAGGAAATGGTTTTGACTAATCATTGGCACAGTCACATCAGCGCTCTCAGCTTGTCCCTCGGAGACCAGATGTCCTGCAGTCGAGGCAGATGTGCTCACTCCTTCTCTGTACGTTTTAACAACTGAAAATTTTCTGGAGGGAAACAAACAAACAGAGGACAGTCAAGGAAACTGGACTATGGCTGTTGAACACTATATATTAGCCCCTGTTTATAAGGACAGTAAGCACTGTACCTGTTTTTGCCTCTGCAGACAATGATGAAAGCGCAGATGATGATGCAGATGAGAGCGATGCAGACTCCCACTGTGATCCCTGTCATTGACTTTTGGTCCAGGTGGTAGAATCCATCAGAAAAGTCTGTAAAGGACAAACACAACACTGTCAGATTTTCAATCATTTGCCAGAGTTCTCAAAAAACATAATCAATTTCAATTTCTATGAAGGGAAGACCCTAATCGTAAGACATCAAGTGACCTGTGGAGTGTGTGGAGCCACGGGAGTGCCAGGGATCATGACCAGAGGAGAGATCTGCTCGCACTGTCAGCTCCACCGTGTGAGAAAACGGCCCATCACCCATGTTGTTGGATGCAGAGACTTTCACCAAGTAAACTTGGCCAGGCTTCAGGTTCTCCAGCAGCGCCATGGTGATGCTCCCTGTTGGTGAGAAATAACTCTGTTAAACTGCTCCCTGTGAATATGACTGCAGTCCTCGTGTATAAACAATGGAACTGGGAGTTATTTTTGTCTCATATTCACAGGCCATCGGGAACTACAGACAACTCAAGAAGTTCAGGTCAGCGTTTTTAAACCAAACACATGAACAGTTACTACTTACAGTCCTTTCATTCATTAAACCAACCTTGAATAAACACATGTAGTTCGGTTATTCCAATATGTTGCTGTCGAGATACACACACAACTATAACTTTCAGCTGACCTTTGAAGAACAGTGATGCAGTGAAAGACATGAAAGACAAACATAAAAACAATCCTCATGGCTGAGAGGTGCTATGTGAGAGGAGCTTCAGAGCAGGGGGTCAGGGCTATACACATTCCCTTATCCAGTACCACCCAGTCTGCACACCACCAGGGTCCCATCTGAGACTGAAAGGGGGTGTTCAGCTTGAGGTGAGAGGGGGCTGGGTGGAGCTGGAGGGGCTTTGTGAACAGCTTCACTTTTGACCCCTTCACCAGGGGCAAAGGGGGAACTGTGTGTCTTTTCTGTGTGTTTCCTGAGGTCATGTGCTCTTAAAAACACCTACGCTGCCTCACAAACAACACACAACAACAGCTTTATAGTTGCTAATGCCTGAGACTCAGAGGACTCATTTAGGATATTTGGACATTAACTTTCTGCCTTAATCAAGCTATTTTTTTTTCAGCTAATTCTCACTTTCTGTTTACATCTCTCTGAGCCTTTCCAATAAACAGCCCCTTTATGTTTTACACAACTCCTGACACTGATTACACAATCTATCATTTTCCCTTTCTAAGCATAAATTCAAAGACAAAATGGCTCCCAGATAACATCAGAGTGTTATAATGTGTTTTTCTATAAACATCTTGTCTGCTTTGAATTACACAATGAACCCATTTTAAAACATGTTCCATCGTTTTGCCCATGACATATTATGTACACAATTATAAGTAAATATGGTTTAAAGAAACTGTTTATAGAGCAACTATAAACTGTTACACAGTACATTAAGTCAGCTTGATGTAGTCAGGAACTTTCTTAATAAATACAGATAAGATAGATCTATGCTTCAGCAGCACAGAAAACATACACAAATCTTTTCGCACATTAAGAAAGCTCAATTAATCTTTTTAGATTTACACTGGATCAAACATACTTATAAACAAATGAACTGAATGCATTCAACACGGCTGCAATTTGATGGGAATCTGTAAAATTATAACTCAATTAGAATAGAGTGTATCAGTAGGACAGATCTGGTCTGTGTTTAATATATAGAAGTGGTTAAAAAGTCTTTGTTTAAGAAGGGTCAATAAGGAGGTAAATGAAAGTCTTTGTTGTACTCACATTAAATCTCCAAACTGGTCTTTAATCAGTGAGATAAAAGCAGTGAGCTCAACCTGTCTCGGCCCCATTCAGGGTTCACAATGAACAGAGACATAGACTGGAGGATGAAATGAGTTACTGATTTCCAATGGACCGTTTGTGTGGGACAAGAGGAAAGCTATGTGGCTCCTCTCCCCTGCACACCTGTATGACCTCGTTCTCTACACATCTCTTTCCACACTCCTCCTCACCTTCTCTTTGCAGCACTTTCCATTCCCCGGCTATCCATGCGTGTCTGGAGGCATACAGGATCGTGTAATGCATCACAGCTATGTTGGGTTCATCTGGGGGTTTCCATGAAACCAGTGCTGTGTCTTCTTCAATCAGAGTCACTTTCACATTGGAAGGAGGCAGCGTGGGAGCTGTGTGATGGGACGGATGACAAGAACAAGATAAAATAAAAGTACTATGAATACAGAATACAAGGTTTTCTTTTAAATTGCTCTAATAAAACGAATCATTGTCTGAATTACCAGGTTTTCATGGATATAATTATAGCCCAGCCCATACAGCATTTTTCTATTGATACTAGAGAGTTTTAAAAATCCTACCGTCAGGTAAAGTGCTCTGATAGACCACAGGGCTCCAGGGGCTGGACAACTGGTCAATGTGAAGGCGAATGGCAAATTCATACTTGGTGTTGGGCTCCAGATCTCGCACCAGGAGGTTCTGCTCACTCCTGCAGAAGAGACACATAACAAAGGCTTCAAGGGTCAGTTCACTCAATACATACTACTTCTTCTTGGGCATAGACAAGGATCTAACAACCAAATCGGCTCAATGGGATTTGCGGAGGTTTGGAGATATTACTGTAGATGTAGATCACTCTAATGACATCATTGGACATCAACGTGCTACAAAATAAAATAAAAATATATTCAATAACTTTAACAGCTACATGTTTTTCAAATAATACAATGTAGTCAGTCACATTATTGCACAGATGTTAAGTTTTATTGTGTTTGTGAACTGGTTCTTTAATGAAAGGTCTTGTCCAGCAGATGGCGATATAGAGCTGTGCTGGCAGTGGGGGTGTTTGGTGACCTGAAAACTTTCCCCAACACATTCAACCCTCAAGTTGTGAAGTGTAAAGTGTTTAGGTGATATACAGCTGTGGCTGCGATAATCACTTGCTGGTGAAAGTATTCTGAAACAATAATATTATGTTAAGATAAGAGTTGAACTGAAGCATGAGACCAAGACATTATACAGTAAGCTGCAGAAAACACAGTTACATGTGTTATACATCTGGTTTCAATTTCCATGCAACCCTCCTCACCAAACAGTAGTCCTACAAACTTATTAAAGCTGCACTAATCAATATTATAGTCAACCAGATGACCAGAAACACCACGTGTGTTTCTGGTCATCTGGTTCACTATAATATTGATCTGATCAATGTGTAAATAGGCAACTGTTTGCTAACTTGTTGGCCATAACACTTATATACTGCCATAATATGTCAAACGTGTGAGTGATGTTGTGGAGTTCGACTGACAAAAAAAAAAAAACAGATTCAAACTGCTTTAAATGGAAAAGTTGTTTTATGAAAAAGTCCTTACGTCTGCAGATAGAGTACCAGGGAGGCGTTCTGCAGGCCCACTGGGTTGCAGCGGACAGTGTAGTTGACCGAATGGCTGGAAGTGAAGGCTGGTCGACCCCAGTGCAGAAATATGGCGGAGGAACTGTTAGTCTTGGTGTACACGTTGTGTGGAGGAGGTGGAGGGGGCACCAGGCGATCTCTAACAGCTGAGAAATGCATTAAGAGTCATGTTAATTCCCCCATTTTGGTCATTGTAAACAGGGTAAATACAAGTGTGTATGTTCTGGGACTTACAGACACATCCGGGGGTGCTGATAGTCTGGTCTGCTTGGTAGCCATCTCCGACAATATTATAAGCCAGAAGCTTTACGTGGTACTTCTTCCTTGGGTCTACATTAAGAAAAAGAAAGAAAAACAAAATGTCTAAGTAAATCAGATCATAGAAATAATTAAAAACAACCAAATGTCTTGCTGCAGAATACATCAGCCTATGTGTGGTCTCAGATGTCAGCTTTATCCTCACTAACACTTGCAATCAATGTAATAATTTAACATGGACCACAACACCGAGACAGATGACAGTGTGTTTCCTGCAGCCAACAGGAAGCAGGGGTGCTACATGAAAGAGACCTGGACTGTGTGGGTGTGGGGTCAGAGAGGTCTGCTGGTTTGATGGTGTGGTGGGAACTAGAGGTGAGGCAGTGCGACAGATGCTTAGTGCCGTAAGTCCTTTGGTCAGTTTCTGCAGCAGAACAGAAGAGCTCCACTATCAATCACACTGCCTCTCTGAGCCTTTTGATTGTAGGCCTTTCTCTGGCCCCGGCCTGCTGGTCAGTGGTCAGTGGCCACTCCTATTCAGGCCCAGAATCTGGGGGTTAAATCGACGGACAAAATCCCCTGGGAAGGACATCGCTGACGGTCAACAGCAGTTGCAGGTCTCAGTGACCCTGAAGACCCTGCTCTGAACAAGAGCCATCAGACCAAATGTTCCCTTTACTCCTTAAAGAACAATGATCAGATCTGATTTAAATGTTGCATACAAGATCAATACAGATAAAAAAAAAATACACACTGATCCTCAACCTCTTTAATTAATGTTCCTCAAATGATTCCTCACAGTTAAAAAACATTTTTTATCTTGAAAATCTTTTTTCCCCCAATACTTTTTATAGCCTTTAATTGACCTGATTACTATTACAGTGCTGTCTGAAAACAAACACACTTCTACCGCTGTAAGAGGCAGTTAGGGAGAGAAGAGGGAGACCAAAGGAAATTAATTTGTGTCCATGGAGGTTAGAAAAGTTTAGGATGGGTGGAGTCGAGCTACTTGCACCCCCATGCAGCCCTGAGGAGTTCCACTGGAGCCAGACCAGGGCCAACAGGTCAGACCGAGATTAAACTCTGAAAGAATCTGAGGTCATGTGTGTGGAATATGAGATGAGGCTCTTCTGTTGCTCAACGATCCTGCCACAGTACAACTACGTGGCTATTTGCAATGAAAATTAAGAATAAAAAAAAAATACCAAGATACTAAAAACTGATATAAACTGCATCATGAACATCTAACATACCGAGACTACACAGGGAGATGATCTGAAGGGGAAATAACTCCTCTTGACATGTCTCTTTTTCCTACACTTTTTGTACAATGTGCACCTTGTTATCCAGAGTTTCTGCCCAGTTATTTATGCCTCAGTGTCCACCTCTAAAGAAGAGCAGGCACATAGTATGCACCTCTACCCAGCCCCACAATACAATGGGCCTGTCGTAATTATGCGAGAGAGTAGCTCTGCGAGGGGGGAAGCTGTGACATCTGGGCCACGACCTTTGACATGGAATCTGGGCAAGCTAAATCCTGCAAAAGGAGGGGTTATAGGGCTCGCTCTGAAGGGGGAGGGTCAAGCAGAGGAAGTGAGTGGAAAAACAGGGAAGAGTCAAAATAAAATGGCACTTAATAGGTGATGACAGTGTCCTGATAAGAGAAAACTCAAAAGGACAGATTTTCACACACAACAGATCAGACACCTGAAGCTCTTTTATATTATATGATGTGACTAGAATAAATAGTTATTATATCCTGATGTGTCCACAAACAATTTATTGTAACCACAATTCTCCAACAAAACAGTTCATTTATCGAACGTATTACGCTGTTCTATAAGATCCTGATGTAAAGGCTGCAACTAACATTCAGCTTTATTATTGATTTATCTGTTGTATATTTGTTTCAATTAATCGTTTAATTTGCGAAGCACTAAATTTAACATTACAAGTTAACACAAATAGACTGATATTCAATCTACAGTAATATTAAACACAGAAAAGCAGCAAATCCTCACATTTTAAAAGCTG